GGACAACTTGCTGGACTTTGCTAAGTCAGCACTTCTGAAAGCGTCTGCAGGCCGGACACACTTTGCACTCTAGATTTGTCTTGTTGACAGACTGTGATAGGTATGTCTGGAGAAACAATGTGCACATTTGAAAAGTATGCACAGTCTAAATAAAGTTCAAATGTCAAAGGTGCACAAGCAACACTCAAAGAAAAAGGTGTGTAAAACCTGCATACGATTTGAAACTTGTGCACATTTTGGAAGAAATGTGTATTTGGTAAGGGGAGAAATGCTTGGTGAACAAAAAGGACTTTCTTCCACAAGTCATTAAGACCAATACAAATGCTTAACGCCTCTGTAGGGTAGAACTCACTCTCAGTGTACAAACCCAACTCAATCTGTGCCTTTTAAAAGTTGATCAATTTTTTTATGTTGCATCTTAACTACATGTCTCCCCGTGAAATGCATGCCATGAAATGCCAATGACTTCCCAGAAAAAAAATTGTTTTGCAGATACCACCAATTCACAGATGGAAAGTACAACCCACAAAAAGTTTGAGAAGGAGCGTGAAACAAAGCTTTTTTTTTATAGCCATCTGTGCAAATTCCAAGTCCAGGTTTAATCAGTATCAGTGGTGAAATATCACTCCCTAACAACTATTTAATGAACCACTTTGCTGCTCTGTCTTTCAATCATTTTCTTCAACCATAAATCAGCATAATAATAATAATAATAATAATAATAATAATAATAATAATAAATCCCGATAGCCCTTGTTTCACCGAATTATTATGGATCAATTTGTCATTAAAGTTGTTATTAAAAATAGCAGTCACAGGGCTTAGTTTTCAAAATACAAAAGTGTAGCTTCCTCATTATTTTTTCTTCACACCAACCACACCCCTCCCTGCTACATTTCCATTGCAAATAATCCCTTGTTGATCGAATGGCCATTAGGGCTCATTAGAGTGACAAGATAGAATGGTTCTTTCATTTGCCTTAATCCATATAATAGTGGCTTACTGGAACAACGGTGTTCTCCTCAACACATGCAGACTTTTTCTCCAAAAATACTTGCATTTCCTAACAAATTACCAGAATGTGTTAAAAGCTCTTACAAAAGACTTGCTTCTTCTTCTTCATTTAAAGGAAGAGATCCATGTTAGAGATCTTTTTATTTCTTCCTTGTTAATGGAATGGGAAACACCTTCTTCTCCCCTTTAGGGAAAAATGAGTCAAATAATAAGAAAAACAACCTACTCTTTGGGAAGATTCTCTAGTTGTTTTTTTTTTTAAGGGAAACTGGTTTCACCAATATGATAATGCCTTAAAATGAATTTAAAGTGTTGCCTCTAATGCTGTTATGTATTACTTCATGAAGATCACAATCTTTCCTACTTACCCAGATGGGATATCCTGTCCAATTTATTGGCAACTAAATGGAAATCTCTTTGGGAATGTATCTACACTATAGAACTAATGCAGTTTGATACCACTTCAAGTGGCATGCCATGGAATCATGGGAGTTGTAGTTTTATAAGATCGTTAGCCTTTTCTACCAAGGAGTGCTAAGGTTTCACCAAATTACATCCCTCAGGATTCCATAGCATGGCAGTTAAAGCAATGTCGAACTGCATTAATTCTACAGTGCAGATCCTCCCTGGGTAAGTCAAGAACTTTGCTTTTCTTAGGTTATAATAATTGAACTGCCATAGAGCACAGCAACATGTGATATTTGGGATTGGGCAAGAGTTAGTGCTAACACATTAGTAAGTTTCCATACAGAAATTATTGTGGTCACATTTGTCCTATAGGACAAAACTTAATGTGATATTCAGTATGCAGGTTGAAGTTGAAAGCCAAATTACCTTACAGAAGTTATGGGACAAGTTTGTCTATGTGTACCATATTCAGTTCCAAGTTGCAGCTATATCTACAGTGTTGAGTAAATAAACACTCACTTGAACCATTAGTTCAAGTGAGTGTTTATTTATTTATTTATTTACAATATTTATATTCTGCCCTTTTCACCCCAAAGGGGTCCCAGGGCAGATTACAATGCACATATACATGGCAAACATTCAATGCCAATAAGACAAACAACATATATAGAGAGACAAAGAAGCAATTTAACATCCCAACTTCCCTGCTTCATGAGGGTATGCTCGATTCCGACTCGATTCCACCCACAGGGGTAGCTGCTGCTTCACCATCCATTTGTGACACTGAGTCCTTCAAAGGAGTACTTCCTCATTCTTCTGCACACTGCTGGATGGTTTTATGGCATCGTAAATTAGTTAAATTAGCCTCTCCACATAAAGTGGTATCTAAATTTCCTACTTGATAGATGCAACTGTCTTTCGAGCTGCAAAGGTTGACAGTAAGCTAGACTAATGGCCAGAAGCCGGGCTGGCTTCGAACTCATGATCTCTTGGTCAGTAGTGATTTTATGCAGCTGACTATCACAGCCCGGTCCTGGGTTGCACTTGATACCATATCTCACAAGGGCTATATAGCACAAATCATGAGTAACTCTACATGCAGATATTTCTGCTATGCAACCCTGATGTAAGATGTTGGTTGTAGTTTGATGTTAATTTTACAGTTAGCTAAAGCATGTTTACAATAAGGCAAGCATGTTCAAGGGAGACAGTGTGGTATTCCATTAAGACTCGGATGGTGTCATCCAGTGTTGCTTCCACTCACACCCCACCCAGTGACATCATTGGCTTCCCCTATACATGGGAGGCCCAGCAGCCCTATGGCACAAGACCATTGAAAGGATATATCACTAATGTGTACTACATTCTGTTTACTAGAAAGTATGGAAGTAAGACTTGGTGCTGTCACCCCCTCTCCCCACCCCATATGGAAATATTGCTCTGGGCATTTAGGAAGCCAAGTACCAGTATTTTGAAATGTTCCACAATTAGAAACATGAAACTAAGGTTAACTATGCCAAAGCAACCTCTTGAATTCTTGATCAGTTCCTCTAAATCCTCCGGAGGGGTACAGAAGCGATGCCAATGCAAATGGAGGAGTGTTCTGTGGAATTATTTAAGAGATCTTTTTTGTTTGATTTAATCTTGAATGGCAAGGCAAACACAGCAGGAGAAATGGAAAATACCCTCTCATTAGTAATTCGTAAAGAGAGAAAGAGCCTGGAATTTTCTCTTACATAACAGAAGCTGGAGAGAGGGTTTGCACAGAGAAAAACTAGCAACACTGAGAAGCACAAGAGGATATGTATTGTGCATTTAGTGGCCTTTCCCAGACAACCTTTTGTAAATAATCAAAATAAAATAATCCAAAGATTATTGGGTGGGGTGGATGGTGTTATTTGGCGTGACATTATCATCAGGAAATCTCTTCTTGCATTTTCAAATGCCTCAGTAACTGTGTTCCCTTGCCATTAAAAAACCTTAGATCATATGAAGTAAGCCATAGACTGGGGTGTTTATAGATTGGGATAAACTGAATGGCATAGGCAATAAGGTCTCTCTCATGGTGAAAAAATAATGATTCTCTTCCAGGAATGTATTTATTTAGGACTCATGCAGAAGTCAAGTCCTGTATGTTGGATCCTAGCTGTTTTCCAATTTCATTTGAGTATAACTAGCAATGCATACATTCCAGCTGAAATGGATTAAATTACTATTTCAGAGCTGCCACCATTGAATTCTAATGTGACAGTCCCATGGCTCATTCTCATTTTCCCACTGATGTATTCCATTGTTTTGTTAGATGGATCTTTTGAATAGGGAAGGTAGTCTATAAGGGGTGAAGCATTACATAGAACATGTGTCTATGGGCTCTGCAGTCACACATTTTTCATTGCTTGATTTTTCTGCTGAAGTGACATGCACAGGACATTAATGGTTCATTAGTGCTTGTATTTCACTTTTTGGAGACATGGGTGCTAGCGTGGGAACTTGGTCACCTAGTGGAAATTACTCATCAAATAGGACTGTAATAAACATCTCGTAGAGGCATAGTAGGTGATTGGTTTAATTCTGTTACAGAAGTAAGCAAAATTATTTAAAGACAACATTATTTACAACCTCATCAGACATGTTTTTCCCTATCCTAGTGCGCTGTTGGCATGCTGCTGGGACAGTGTCTGCTAGAGCCCATAATATGGTGCAGGGCTACTTTAGCAGCACACGAAAAGGAAGACCTGAAGATGCAGGTGACTACCTGTATCCTCACTGACGAAGCCGGGGACAGCCACAAAATGTCATGGGACCATTGTAAGGGGACAAAGCTGGGTGCTGCCCTACAGTTTCCCATGCTGTTCCCCATCTGATGAGGTCCTTAATCCTGCCTCTTTCCCAAGTAAGGTTAATATGGCAATGTTATGGAGACACCTACTGGTATTTTGTAGGGCCCTATAGCCTCCTTTATTCAGGAAATAAAGCCTGACTGCTCATTGGAGGGAAGGATATTAGAGGCAAAGATGAAGTATTTTGGCCAGTTTCCGAACTGTCTTCAAAGGCAGCCCCACGTACAGTGCGTTGCAGTAATCTATACGGGATGTGACCAGAGGGTGGATGACCATAGCCAGATCAGACTTCCCAAGGTACGGGCATCAGGCGGACTCCAGAAGTACCTTAATGGTGGTTGGATAAGTTTTTCTTTCTTTTAAGAGCTTCTTTTGTGGGGCTTCAGAGTAGCCCCGTGCCATCTCATTCATTATCGGGGTAAATTCTACATTTTTGGGGGAAGTGGGGACAGATATGTACACCAAAGCAGATTTGAAAAACCCCTTTTGGCATGCATTTCTGTCATGTCTGGAAGCACCCTCGGTGTTTAGTGTTTTCACCTCTGTGGACTTACAATATGATTATTGTAATGTCCTCCCTACCCCAGCAGTTTTGTAAGTTTTAATCAATTCAAGGCTCAGGAATATGCTTGTCCCCCCCCCCCCCAAAGATGTCCACATTTCAGCATGTTCAGTGGTATTACATAATAATTAAATGTTATTCTGCTTTGAAAGGAAAACAAGTAATGCTCTGAAATGTATGGCTTTGTGGTCAATTTATTATTTGCTATGCTTATATAATCAAGATGGTTCCATGATCCATCCATTGTTGTCCAACTAGAAGTTCTTATAGGCAAGTGTCCATGCCTGCTGCAGAAGGGCCCGCCGTACGTTCAATGTCACTTGGCTTTATTTCTCCATTCAGCGGTTCTCCATCTTTCAACCCATTTTCAGCAGCAACCGCCTTTTGTCTTTCAAAATGCTTCTTTACAATAATAAAGAACACTATGGCCAGCAAATAAGATGGAGCTCTCAAGGCGTATATAAGGCCAAAGAAAGAATATCTGTTGAAGAGAAGAGTCCAAACAAAAATGCATTACTTTAACATTCTGCATTCATAGTTTTGTTTTTCTTTTTCTTTTCAATTAGGAAGGGGTATTTAAAGGTGAGAGTTGCTGTGCTATAGTGATATGAGCATTGGTTTATCAGTGTAGAGACAACAGTTGAAATGCCTGTTAGGCCATTGAGAGCCATTGGGTGGCCTTCAACAAATCACACTTTCTCCGCCTCAGAGAAAGGCAAAGGCAACTCCTTTCTGCCGAGAACACTCCATGATAGATTCAAATTAGAGTCTTGATAGATCAGAAATAACTTGAAACTTTCAAGAGCAAAAGTGGAATGTGTGGAAAGATCGGTTTGGTGGTTTGGGACCCACCTACCTTTGTGACCATATCTTCCTTGATGAACCTGCCCAATCCCTCCAATCCTCGGAGGAGGCTCTCCTTTCACCTCTACCATTATCTCAGTCCTGCCTCGTGGGAACAAGGGAGAGAGCCTTTTCCTCAGTGGCTCCCCGTCTATGGCATACACTGCCTGGTGAGATTAGACGAGCCCCCACCTTAGAAAGTTTCAAGAAGAATCTCAAAACCTGGCTCTTCCACTGTAATTGATTATGTTGTTATGTTCTGATTTTATTTTGTTGCTGTGTTGTTGGGTTTGGCCTCATGTAAGCCACCCCAAGTCCCCACTGGGGAGATGGTGGTGGGGTATAAATAAAGTTTATTTATTATTATTACTAGCTGTCCCTGCCACGCGTTGCTGTGGCCCAGTCTGTTGAACTGGAAAATAAAGTAATGAGAAAGTGTTGGTTTCTAATATATATAATGTATTTCTGCTTGTGGGTAAACAATATTTCTTGCTGTTTCTTTATCAGCGTTGATGTGGAGATGGTCTGGTTTGCCTACTTGGGAACATGCAACATATAATTGTCCTTCTTTAAGGGTCTCTTTCAAATCTATGATACTATATCTGTGTGTGTGTGAATCATATCTATCTATATCTATGGCTGGATGGCTCTTTGTCAGTAGGGCTTTGATGACATTTTCTTGCCCTGGTGAAGGGAGTTGGACTGGATGGCCTTAAGTATTTTCTGATGGTCATGGGAGTTCTGTGTGGGAAGTTTGCCCCAATTCTGTCGTTGGTGGGGTTCAGCATGCTCTTTGATTGTAGGTGAACTATAAATCCCAGTAACTACAACTCCCAAATGTCAAGGTCTATTTCCCTCAAACTCCATCTGTGTTCATATTTAGGCATATAGAATATTCGTGCCAAGTTTGGCCCAGATCCATCATTGTTTGAGTCCACACTGCTGTCTAGATGTAGGTGAACAACAAATCCAAAACTCAAGGTCAATGTCCACCAAACACTTCTAGTGTTTTCTGTTGGTCAGGGGAGTCTTGTATGCGAAGTTTGGTTCAATTCCATCGTCGGTGGAGTTCAGAATGCTCTTTGATTATAAGTGAACTATAAATCCCAGCAACTACAACTCCCAAATGACAAAATCATAATTTTTTGAGTGATGGCCACTCCTTGTGTTGTGAGACATTTTGTTGCCAAATTTGGTGTGATTTCGTTCATTGGTTCTTTTGTTTTTAAGCTACTCGTTATGCACAGAGCATTTATATATATATATAGATTATTATTATTATTATTAAACATGAAAATTAACAGATACGGTAAAAACCAGGTCCCGAGAACTCCTTGCAATTAGTGTCATCATGATGGAACTCATTTCAAGTCAGTTAGGTAAAGGTAAAGGTAGTCCCCTGACATTAAGTCCAGTCATGTCTGACTCTGGGGTGTGGTGCTCATCTCCATTTCTATGCCGAAGAGCCAGCGTTGTCCGTAGACACCTCCAAGGTCATGTGGCTGGCATGACTGCATGGAGCGCCGTTAGGGAATGATAAATCAATTCAAGGCTCATTGAAGCTTTGGGGTAGAAGCACAGCTCACCTGTACAATGTGGCGTCATACAGCCTGCAGGCTCCTTGGCGACTACAGCCAGTGTTGGCCCACTTTAAGCAAGCCCTGTCTATTACTGCACCAAAATAAGCAGGGGCTGGAATTCCAGCTGGAAGACAACAAGCAAGACATATATTCATGATATGGTTTACCACAGGAATGATTAATCCATGTTTTTGCACCCCTTTTTCCTAGGCTCCTGCCAACACCCCTCTCTAGAAGTTTCCAAGAGTCCTTTGAAAACCATCATGTCGTATGGAGATTAGTTTTCTGGCCAAACAGTAAAAACAAACAAACAAACGAATGAGATCCAGCATTGTTACATTGCATCTACACTGCCAAATTACTGCAATTTGATCCCACTTTAACTATCATGACTCAGTGCTATGGAATCATGATAGTCATTTCTTTCACAGCTTTCTCACCCTGCAAAATTGGCAAAGTTCAGTGAAAAAGTCAAATGGAGCAAATAATAACAATAACAATAACAACAATAATAGAACATACAAAACTTCTAGTAGGCTCACTCAGTATGAACAAAAGCTTTGAAGTATGGGAAAAATATAAATGAAAGTTTATATCCCTAATAAGGAATACTGGGAAGACACTATGATCCACAACTATCAGAATGGCATTCTTACCCAAAGCTCGCATCACAAGCATATGGAAACCAACTGCCAATGACTTCAGGTCTGGTTCTACATTTCTAAAAGATGAAATGTTAACCATGTTAAACACTGATTTCTATGTTTCTGCAAGATAGATAGACAGATCTTTTATTTACTTCAGTGACAAATGATTTCAATATTCTACAATTTCACATTTATTTATTTACTGTATTTAAACCCCACCCTTCTCACTCTTAAAGGGACTTAGAGTGGCTTACCAGTGGCAATAATTCAATGCCACATATACAGAACATACAACAAAACAAACATATGCATCGAACACCCAAAATTTAAAAACATTTAAACATTAAAAACCAATTATTTAAACTACACAAGCCAAATTCATAGTCCAGGAGATATTCTGGTCGTAATGGCGCTTATTCCAAATCACTTATTGCACTGAATTTACTGTCTGAAGGCTTGGTTCCACAGCCCCATTTTTAGTTTCTTTATGAAGATCGGGAGGGAGAGAACTGATCAGATTTCACTGGGGAGGAAATTCCATAGCCGAGGGGCCACCACTAAGAAGGCTCTGTCTCCCATCCTCACCAACTGCACCTGCAAAGGAGATGGGACCTGAGAGCAGGGCCTCCTCTGAAGATCTTAACCTCTGAGGTGGTTCAGAGGGAGATATGTTCAGACAGGTAAGCTGGGCCAGAACCATTCAGGGCTTTATAGGCTAAAGCCAGCACTTTGAATTGTGCTCAGTAGCAGACTGGCAGCCAGTGGAGCTGATGCAACCGAGGAGTTGTATGTTCCCTGTACACCGCTCCAGTGAGGAATCTGGTTGCTGCCCATTGGACTACTTGAAGCTTCCGAGCAGTCTTCAAAGGCAATCCTACATAAAGCACATTGCAGTAGTCTATTCAGGATGTAACAAGAGCGTGAACCACTGTGGTTAACTTTGGCTTCTCAAGATACTGGTGCAACTGGTGCACAAGTTTTGATTGTGCAAAAGCTCCCCTGGCCACCGCTGAGACCTGGGGTTTCAGGCTCAGTGATGAATCCAGGATCACCCCCAAGCTGCGAACCTGTGTCTTCAGAGGGAGTGTAACCCCATCCAGCACAGACTGTTACCCTATACTATGTTCAGCCCTTTGATTGACCTGGAGTACTGCTGTCTTGTCTGGATTTAATTTCAATTTGTTCACCCTCCTCCAGACTGTCACAGCTGCCAAACACCGGTTCAGGACCTGGACAGCCTCTTTAGCACCAGGTGGAAAGGAGTAATAGCATTGGACGTTGTCTGCTTACAGATGACATCAAACTCCAAAACTCTGGATGATCTTTCCCAGCGGCTTCATGTAAATGTTAAACAACATGGGGGACAATATATAACCATGCCGGAGCGCCAAGACAAAGGCTGTGGGGCCGAGCAGGTGTCCCCCAACAACACCTTCTGAGAGCGGCCCTCCAGGAAGGTCTGGAGCCACTGCAAAACTGTACCTCCAAACCCCATTCCCATGAGGCATTCCAGAAGGATACTGTGGTCTGCATTATCAAAGGCCGCTGAGAGTCAAAGAGAACCAACAGGGACACACTCCTCCTGTCCTGTTCTCTGCGTAGATCATTCACTAAGGCAACCAAGGCTGTTTTGGTTCCATGTCCCAGCCTAAAGCCAGACTGTGCAAAATCCAGATAGTCAGTTTCCTCCAAGAACACCTGGAGTTGCAAGGCCACCACATGTTCCAGGACTTTGCCCACAAACGGAGATTGGAAACTGACTGAAAGTTGTTCAGTTGAGTGGGGTCCAGTGATGGTTTTTTAACAGCTGTTTTAGATGGCCTCCTTTAGTCCTGCTGCAACCTTGCCTTCTTGTAGAAGTTAGGGGGCACAGTAAGCTTAAACCTGATCAGGCAATGGTCAGTCCATGGCAATGTAACAATGGTCACACCAGTCCTAAGCTGCTCCCAACAGGGTAGTCTCCACCTGGACACTGAAGTCTCCCCCAGCACTATGAGCCATTGGGACTCCAATGCCAGGCCTGAGATCAGCTTGGCTAGCTCAAGCAGGGAGACTGTAGTGAGACAATGTTCACAAACCAGCTCTAGGAATCAGATAATCAAATTATGGGCAGAGTTTTCTTGTTGTTGTTAACTGTTGTCAAGTTAACTTTGATTTATGTTCACCTTATGAATTGAGAGGCATTCTGGTCACCTTGTCCTCAGGGCCATGGCTTCCTTAATTGAGTCTGTCCATGACATGGATTCAAATGGCCAGAAAAGACATTCCACCTGAATATTAGGTAGAATGATCCATCACAGAAACATTTTGCTGTTGAACTTATTTGTTACTTACCTAATCATGATCATGAAAAACGGAACCCCTCCTAATGCATAGAAAAAGGAACTTGCTACTTTGATAACGCTGTAATAAATAAATTTCCTTGCACAGCCATCATTCCTTGGACATTCTCCCAAAACTGCTGAGAAATTTTGTGCTACAGAATCCATCCTTTCAATGCAACTACAGTTATGGAAAACCTAGAAAAAAAAACAAAGGTGATAATACAGACATCCTACTTCATTTGTAGCGGGAGCTATTTTCTGTGCTAAACTGGCACCTGGCAGTTGTAATGGACTGGAAGCATCAATTGATTTGAAGCTTATTCCAGAGAAGATCGAGGTGCCCCCAATCAGTCAATAGATAGATCTGTGTTAGATGGAGTTATATTCCTCCTGAATACAGGTTTTCTGTTTATCAGGATCCCTCTAAACCTGGAGTCTCGGTTTCAGCAGTGACCAGGAAAGCTTTCATATAATTAAAGCTGGTGACCAACTGTATCTGTTCTTGACTACACATTACTTCCAGTTTCAAGTATTTGAAGAACTTCTTGTAAAGAAACTAGTTTTAATACTGTGGTATACTACTTTTATTTCTTACCTTTTTAAATGGATATGTCTTATCTTGTTTTAAATTTGACTGATATTTTAATTACTTTTTAACAACAGGTTTTCGCCTCCATATTTTTACCTAGGCATGTGTTTATTAGTATTTTTTTTTGTAAACTGAAAAATGTGGATAATAAGAAGAAGAGAAAAAGCAGCTGATTCCTCCCTGAGCCACTTGTTTTTGCAATGAACAGTGATAAAATTTCTCCTAATATATTTAGGTTCCCAGTGGGAAACACAAGCAGGATTAAGGAACCCCTAAAGGGAAAGACTCTGAGTGGGCAGAAGATTTATCTAGATCAGTGTTCCCAACCTTTGGTCCACCAGTTGTTTTGGATTAACTCCCAGAAATCTCAGCAAGCTTACCAGCTGTTAGGAATTGTGGGCACTGAAGTCCAAAACAACTAGAGGACCAAAGGCTGGGAACCATTGCCCTAGGCCCTTCATAGGCTACATTTTGAGTCATGGCCTTGGTTAAAAGATGGAAGTTGGAATTCCACACTTTCTAACAGAAGTCAAAGACACCAGATGATCAAGACAAGCATATCAAATTATGGCTAGTGATGACCACTAGTCTAGGTGACTTGGGTATGAGAGACAGTGTAATGATGTAGTAAAACCTGCTGTCATTTCAGCCATAATTGTTAAATTTATATGTTCAGAAGCAATATCTACCTTCATGATAATTGCTGGTGTTGACAGACAGTTGTGGTGGGAGAGGATTACCCAGGACTATTGCTTTCACGGTTCACCCCCTTGTAGCTAGGCTTTCCTAGCAGCAGTTGACAGACCATTGTAGGAAACATGACATGGATCTTCAGTTGCATTCAGCTTGGCTCAAGATAACATTTACTCATGATAGTTTGTTTTGCATGGTAGATTTTACTTTTATTCTTCATTGAGAATAATAAGCTTTACAGAGTCCAGGAGGCCTGTTCCCTGTCATGAAATAACCTATGGTATAAATCTAAGAGTTGGAGGGGAATCGCCCTGAGCTTGGAAGGCTGACTTAGTTGGACAGTATCTCCTAGAATCCCTCAGCTAACAAGACGAAGCTCTGAATCTTCAACAGCAAAGTCATAGTTTTTGAGTCAAGCCTATCTCCTCTTAGCAAGTAAGCCAATGATTTTTCAAAAGAAAAACGGGATTCAGAAATTTCCTTCTCAAAGGACAGCTCCTCAACCCCAACACAGATATACAAATAAAAAAGCAGAAATATAAATACAGCTTACAGTTTCTTTTCTGGTTCCTGTTACGTCTTTGCAGCCAGCAAAGCATGCTGACACATATGTGATTCCATTGTCTCCACAGACAGGATCCCACTGGTTTGTGGAGCATTGGCAGTCAAAGTTGCAGGGTGAAGATAAAAGAACGGAGTCCCGTGTAATTGGTTGCCTTTTAAAGTAAGCACAGAAGGAGCCACTTAGATTATTCTAGCAGTGACATAAATGTCTTTATTTAAAACCTCCCCCTTTTCTGCCTTTGCATGGAGCAATTGAGGTGATGCTGAAAGAAAAGGAAAATCAAATACAACCTATCTTTCAATCTAGCAAATGTAAACACAGAAGCAGCCAATACTGCAGCATAGAACCAGGCAAATAATATTGTTAATCAAGAAAAGGAGTCAAGTAAACAGTTATATAATAAATTGTGGGACCTGTCCTTTTGTGAGACAGGCTTACATGGCAATATCAACAACAACATCTTCTCCTATTTGAGTGGGCATGCTTTACCTTATAGTTTCAGCTAGAACTGATATTGGAAAGTTAACTTGGTTTGTGTCAGAGTTTCAAACTACTATGTTCTTGTTATGTTTTGCTTTGCTACCTATTCAAGAATGTTTTAACAGCACCTAGTTTACTGGTCATTTGTGAGCTTAGAGTCGGTATCAGTTGAGGGAAGTTTTTGGGGGTAAAATTATGGATATTGATATGTCCCATGGATCAGTGAATTTCCATGGCCGAGCAGGGAATCAAACCCTGGTCTCCAGCAGCATAATCCAAAGCTCAAATGGCTACATCATGTTGTATAACATACCCATCATAGGAGACTGTCAATCCAGCCACTATGCGGTTGTCACAGCCCACTATCACATAGAAAAGTGAAAATGCAAAGGCTATAAACGATGCTGTAAATGCCATTTTTGTTGCAGCGATAATGTTCAGTTTGTATTTTTTCATGATGAGACCTCCTGTAAATATCCCAATGCTGACAGCGGGTAAAATGGCGACTCCTGGAATAAAAGAGAGAGGGGGGGAGTGTGGTCACATTTTGCTAAGCCAGAGGCTGAAGAGAGAAAGAAATACACATGTGAGTGTGTGAATGGAAAAGAAGGGATGGTCATACAGAAGGAACATGATGTTAATGTTACAAGGGCTTAAATATGTCCTACTTTTTCCCAATTGTTTTTGGACTCAAAACCAAATAACCAGAATTCTATGGGAAACAGGACACTATATTGGCTTACATGGATTGAAACTAGAGGAAAACTTGTGTAAAAGAGGCTGGTGGCCACACCAGGATGCAAAATATGTAGGGGGCAGAGCCAGAATGTTACCTAAGGATAATTTGCCCCTTTATGATGCTGTCTTCAGCTCCAGCTTGCAACCAACCCTTTTGCCAACAGAGCAGTATAGCTGGTTGCTTCAGGGAAAGGTAGGACCCCCTTTTTTACTGAGATATTTTTTGCTTACCCTATCCTGTATCTGAGGGACTTTGACAGTTGACACAGGGTGGACCCCATAGATACATTGTCCCAAGCTGGTGTTGGGAGAGAATAAAGGAGTGTGTATACCTTGGCACCCTTCTGGTGAAAGTTGCTGCTCCGGAACAGTTTCTTTAGGTCCATCAGGTTGGGATGTTGTGAAATAGCCTGCTTTAATCTGGGAGGTTTCCACTCTCTTGTAAAGGTCAGTGGCCTGGGAGGGAGGATTTTAGGTTGACCTTTCAGAAAAAGGCCAGCTGGGATTAGCAACCCATGCCATTGGACATCTCAGGGCCAGATGTTTTGTCCAAGGGATGCTGAGGAGGTGATCATAGACTGACCACGTCCTCATTTCCTCTTCACCTTCACGCAGGCATAGATGAACTAAATAGGTTTTATGTCAATAAATGACTCTTTCTTTAACCCCAATCTTTGTGTCTGGCTCATTACTTCGTGGTAAGATATCACTTTAGCATAGAAATCAATGAGACGGCTTTACATTGGTATAAGTGCTATTTATGCACGTAGTTGCATTTATACATGTGGTTGCAATCTTGTTGTGCAAGCTCCACAACAGCAATTTAAACCATGGCACAACCCTAGGAACACTTAGACGGTTCCATGTGAGCCTTCGTGATCAATGAGAAGTTGGAGTAACTGTGGCACCATGTATTAGTCTGAAGCTATCCTACTTGTCATGTAATTACTTGTGTGATGGGCCTATCCAGTATTGCAGCTTAACAATGCCTGTATAATTGGTAAATAGAATTTTGCAACTTTAAGAGAGCTAGTGTGGTGTTTTGACTATCAAAGGCATCTGATGCCAAGTTTTTGCTAATTTTATTGATTATTTTTCCACATAATTTGGTTTTAGATACGTTGAATTGGCATACAGTCTTAAAGTTTTAATGGTTTCATAAAAGCTACAGTCCTTCAAATAGCCTGGGGACAATCCATATATGCCTTTATAAGTCAAAATCAATGTTTTATATTATCTATGGAAATGATCTGGCAGCCAATGGAACTGTTGATGATTTCTTAGTACAGCCCTGCAAGGATGGCTAGGTGGACAGACAATCAGATAGAAAGACAGAACTCAAGACTCAGGCTCACCTGTTACCAAATTAGCCTTGGATGCTGGTAGACCATACTGTTGTTCCATATATTTGGGACTGTATGTCAAATAACCAATGAAGCTGCTAAACTGCATCAGTGTTATGCACATCAGGGTGACGTATCTTTTATTGCTCAAAACTCTCTTCATGGATTTGAAAAACCCTGAAAGAAAGAGATACATGATGGTAGTATAAGTCACATCTACACAACATATGATTCATTTAAAAAATTAAATAAAATAAAAAGATTAAAAATAGGACATGTGACATCTATATGAGATGCATAGTTTCCAGATCTGTGACTGTTTGAGTTGAATTCCGGTTCAAACCAGACTTAATCAAGACTCATCCAAACATGCCCAAAACATGGGACCTGTTTGGGTTTTTACCAGGGGGCATCCAAATGACATCTCCAGTAAAAACAAATTAATTCAAAATAACCTCAATTATTCCAAATTGATTAAATGTGCCATTAGATCCAGGCCTTCCTGAAAGGCCCAGGACTAATCAGTTGGGGACTCACTTTTTGGGTAGTCCTGGGACTACCTGGGGGTGAGTCCCCATTTGCCATCTCAAACTTTTTGGGCTCCTGGAGCACAAAGGTCTGCAATGGTGCCCAACCAGGAAAGCATGAAGAGAATTGTAATGGTGGCCAGGTAAGCTTAACTTTATTTTTAGTTATTTTTGGGGTTATTTGGGGGGGGTACAGGATGGTTGCATGCTATCCTGATTGTTATTGGGATGGCAGCACACCCCCCCCCAAAAGCCCAGGGTTTTTTTTGGGGGGGGGGGAGTGTGGACACAAATCAGGTTTTAAAAACCTGATTTTGACACGGATTTGTGACCTGTCTAGAAGCACCCTTAGAGAAGAACCTTGGAATCATGAGTAGTTTCAAGCGTTTTAGTAACTCTCTTCTGACTGTGACTAAACTGGATACAAACAATTATTACTTATATTACTAAGTAGAAAGGTCTGTAGTAGAAAATATGATTTCCATGAGGAAGGTGTGAATTTCTAGAAAGAAGTGGGAAAGACTCCCATCTGAAAATCTGGAGATCCAGAGCCAGAAAATAGAGAACAGCAAGCTTAATGGTTGATGGCTTTAATGCAGTGGAATGGTGACTCCACTCTGAGTTTTAGCCCAAATTTTAAAGGAATTATTCTAGTTGCTAAGTGTACTTAGAGATAAGATTCAGCACCTTGGGCAATACTTATAAAGATCAGAAAATCTTTAGCATCCCATTGGCATGTTCAGTATAAAAAGGCTTTCTGTGTTTGGATTCATTACGATAGCTCTAAACAAGAGAGGGGAGGAGGGAGGGGAACCTTGATAATAGTATTGAATGATTTATTTGTTTAAATCAAGAATCCCTAGATTTTCCTTCCCCCACAATTCTATGTTTGTAATGGCTTATGACTTTTCCCTTTGGGCTGCAGCTGTGAAGCATCACCCTTGAAGCTACAGGTTGACAATATGCACTCAATACAATTAACAATATGGTGAGTGGTTATTAAAAAGTAAATTACAGGCTTCATTAAAAAGACCTCATGAGGTCCTAAATCTGGATGAGAACCCAAAAGGGAGTGAAAATAGGAGCTTTAATTTTTCCCCCAACACCGAACCCAGATTTGTGCTGTGGTCACTCTAACTCAGGGGTCCTCAAACTTTTTGAACAGAGGGCCAGGTCACAGTCCCTTAAACTGTTGGAGGGTCGGATTATAATTTGAAAAAACAAACAAACCATGAATGAATTCCTATGCACACTGCACATATCTTATTTGTAGTGCAAAACACTTAAAAACAATACAATAATTAAAATGAACAATTTTAAGAAATATAAACTTATTACTATTTCAACGGGAAGTGTGGGTCTGCTTTTAGCTGATGAGAAAAGGTTGTTGTTGTTGTTGTTGTTGTTGTTATTGTTGTTGTTGTTGTTGTGTGCCTTAAAGTCATTTTAGACTTAGGTTGATCCTGAGTGAGGGCTGGGTAAATGACCTTGGAGGGCCGTACCCGGCCCGCGGGCCTTAGTTTGAGGACCCCTGCTCTAACTGCTATTTGCATTGGAAATAATAAAAAAAAGTGTGGAGGGCTCACTGAATTAAGACTTCAGTGAGGGCAAAGGGTTATGGTCTCCCTTTATCTGTATTAGAAAGTCAATTCAGATACCATAGGCTTTTCACATTCTCGTTTTTTAAAGTGGCTATTTGCAGGCACTCTTCTACATAAGTACTACAAATAGATGACTGTTAAGTTTGGACACTTCTTATTTCAGCAATTCAAGGTGATGTCTGCTAGCTCAGTTGACATTCTTTTTTTTAAAAGGATTTAAAACTTTCACAGAAGAGAGATCAATAAAAAGCTGCTAGTCATGACCCTCAAATGGAATCTGTTTGCTCTTTTGTATAAATAGCACTACTACCTGACACCAGCAGATTCTATTCTGATTTTGGAAACAAATTAGGTTTGGGCCTGGTTATTACTTGGATGATGGACTATCAAGGAATACTAGATGATATTGGATATATTTCAGAGGAGGACAATCACAAACCAGTTCTTGAGCATGAGGTCTCTAGAGATCAATAGGTGGCTTGAAGGCACAAACACATATTTCAAGAATCCTCATCAGAGTCACTATTTCCTTCAACATCACTATTGTTGTTTTTTTTTTGGGGGGGGGGGATGTTTCCAGGGCCTAAAACATGGCACAAAAGGTAAAGGTTTTCCCCTGATATTAAGTCCAGTTGTGTCCGACTCTGGGGTTGGTGCGCATCTCCATTTCTAAGCCAAAGAGCCAGCGTTGTCTGTAGACACCTCCAAGGTCATGTAAAACAGAGCATAGGACAGCACAAATATCCACTGGAATGGCCACTCACCACCACCATTACTGCCAGAACAGGGGCTGGGCAATTCTAGCAAGTGCATGTGTGCCTGATGCAGACCGGTGTGTCTAAATGAATACTTGGTTGCTCTGTCTTTCTTATGGACTCACCTTTCAGGTTTCTTGAGTTGTCTGCTTCTTGTTGAGGTTCAGTCACTTGTCTGTGGCTTTCATGATTTTGCTCTTTCATTTTTATGTTGTCCACTTTTTTTGTTCCAGGAGCAACCCCTTCTTCTTTGTCCAGACTTTTAGGCAAGAACAAGAAGGGGATACCAGAAATCAGGTTCATGACAGCACCTGCTAAAAAGCCCAGCCACCATGCACCTACCCAACGGGAGTCAGTTGGAGTTATAGTAATTGTACCTAGAAGTAGAGAGATCCATTATATGTCTGTTCATACAGCACTGCCAAATATTCATGCACTATAGAGTGAAATTGTCTTAAGACACTTCTAAGACAGTGGTTGTGAACCTGTGGGTTCCCAGATGTGTTGGCTTTCAAGTCCCAGAAATCCTAACAGCTGGTAAACTGGCTGGGATTTCTGGGAGTTGTAGGCCAAAACACCTGGGGACCCACAAGTTGAGAACCACTGTTCTAAGATTAATAGCAACATGAGAAAGCCAGGGAGGAAAGAAAAATGAATGTGAAAAATGTGCCACTGAATAACTATTGTCGCCCTTGGGCTGAGAAAGGCTGTATATAAATACGGTAAAGAGATAAATAAATAAATAAATAAATAAATTTCCAGTGAACAGGTGCAATGATATATTGGCTATGATCAAGCTATGGCTGTCCTGATGTTGTTGGACTGAATTCTACCCAACATGCCCAATAGTTAGAGACCCTGGCAAGTGAAGGTCAAGAATATATGAAGGGGCACAGATCCTCATATCCTGTTATAGACACCTTACTTGTGTCTCAGATACTGCTTGAAAGAAAAGAATTGAGGTGCATTACCAGATGATACATCTACCTTCTATCAAGTCATAGGTACATGTCTGACTATGCAGCTAAGTTGAACACCAGAAGGGCCTGTCTCTGTTTTAGAGAGAGCCCATACAAACACAGAAAAGTCAGTACATGATCATAGTTTTTAGGAAGGTAACCCAACATAGAAATATCTCTGCATGCAATTGACTAGGAGTATCAATGATAGCAATGCTATATAATGTAAACCAGTATAGCAAACCATGTTGCACTGAAATGACAAATGTCCAACTTGCATCTTACCTAAATCCACAAAGCCAACATCAACATATATTCTGGCTAAGAGAGATCCCAAAAGGTAGCCAACCATTGGGCCAATCATTGCTATGGTGTGTAAAATTCCTACAATTATAAATAAAATATGATCAATATAGTCCAAGCAAACATCCTCATAGATTCTGCATTATTTTCTTAGTTTCTCTCTAGGCATTTTTTTCAATTACTGCAGTGAATGTCATTAAAGTTTGTGTACATAACCTTATGCTGTGTACACCTTTCTCTTCTCTAGAATCAGTATTGTTTTAGAACCAATTTGAACATTTAAATGTTGTATATATATATCAAGAGAGCAAATGTGCTATCATGATTTGAATGCTGAACTGTAATCCTTGATTTCCAATTTCTGATGGAAACCCACAGTTTTTCAGATTCCAAAAGATGGAAATGCAAATCCTCTCTGAATCTATCTATAGGCAATCACTAGTGGCTGAATATGACTGTCTTCCAAGGACAAAGCCGTGGTGGATTTATAAGGGCCCTTCCAGACAGAATCTGATCCCAGGTTTTCTGTTCATCCCAGATTATCAGGAAGTGGGGACTCACATAATCTAGTTTAATGCAGAAAACCTGGGATCAGATCCTGGGCTATATGGCCTGTCTGGAAGGGCTCTAAGTGACTAGAGACCTATTGTGGATTTGTATGGTCTTTCACAATGAGGACATGAATGTCCAGATGAAAGGCAGGCATAAATATTGCCTAGAAAACAACATGATATATTGGCTTAGATTTGCCAGATTCAGAAATGTCTTGAAGCACCCAACAATAATGTCTGCACCTAAGATTTTTTCTATGAAGCTGAGCTGGAAAGGAGACATGTTTTTATCACTGGGGTATTTGAGGTATGTGACAGATCTCCTACTCTTTAAGTCACAGGTAGAAATTGTACATCATATAGGTCATAAAGGAAATGCTCCCAATATAGGGATGGAAGACAATTTCACATTCCTTGGAAGGCCACATTTTATAATGATAATGCAATGCAGTCTTTGTTTTGGAAAGCTAAACTTAAAGTAAACTGTTAAGAACAAATTGGATTAAATTTGTACAGGTTGTGTATCTTGGGACTAAAAGTGTTTTAGATTTCATAATACCTGCACACTTTCCATAAATGTACATAATGAGATATCTTAGAGATTGTACATAATGAGATGCACATAGTGAGATATCTTAGAGATATCTAAATACAAACTCAATTTATGTTTCATATACTCATAGCCTTATACTACATGTGGTGGGTGAACAAAGTTGACGTACACTGAATCATCGGAAAGCAACGGTACCAATATCTCAGCTCTTCAAGTGGACAATTTTAGAGAATTCTGCATTTCAGAATTTCAGAATAGGGGTGCTCAATCTGTACGTCCAAGAAATGTTTTTTAACATAAGTATTCATGGATTAGTTGACCGAATGATATGAGGATAAAAACCTTTTTTAAATTGCTGATTCTGAAATTGATTCATTGATGTTTTCTTAAATGTCTTTTTGGAGTTATAATAATAAGGTAAAAGTATAATAGGTGGGACCCTATGCTGGTTGCGCAACACAGGTCTGAATTAATGAGGGGAACACATGTGCGGGACCATGCAGTGAGTGAGAGATGCAGCTGCGTCAGAGTCCTGGGAACATTGTTCACCAGAAAGGGGGAGAGGAAACATTTCTATCCCGTTTACCATCTTCGGAATTCGTTGTTCATCATTTAACAGTAAATAACTCTAACATTACTTCACACGCCTTAAGCATAATGCTTGGCTGTTTATGGTCCGCCCCTTTCTAACCCCCCTTTCTGACCCACGTTGCGCATGTCTTCCCTTTATTAATTCTGACCTGTGTTGCACAAGTAGCGTAGCGTAGGGTCCCAGCTATCATACTTTTGCCAATAATAAGACCATTAAATTGTATTTGTTATCTACCTCTGCTCATAGTGAGTTGTATTTGGGCTTGCCCTTCTGCTAATGATCAAACTCAGGTGCATTTTAGCAAACATAGTTGACAAATCTGAAAATCTTAATATAAAAATCCACCACTGTCAATTACAGATCTCTAAAAGGTACTAAGTACAACATAATCCCACCAGTTCAGACATTACCAACATAAAAGGGAGTATCTTCTTCCCTAGAGAAATCATCAAGGTAAGAAATGCCCAGAGGAGTTATTGGTGTTTCACCAATTCCACGTAGTACATTGCCCATCAAAACAAAAATCCATGCATAAGATGTAATTTCTTCATTGCAGTCTGAAAGAGAAACCATTACAAGAGAATGAGATATACTATACAAATAAGGGTAATTTCCCAAATGATTCCAAATGAATATAGCTGATAATATAGGGAAAAAATGAAAAAGATGCTGATTCAGTTCCCCCATGGGTTCAAAAACTGCAATGGTGATTTTTTAACTGTACTTCTTCATTCTGTTAATGGTGCCAGGTCAACATCAGTTGGTAAATTTTAATTCCGTGATGTTTCCAGTGGTACCTAGTGAAGTGGACTGAGGTTGGTAAATGCATAACATGGGGTCACAAAGTGGATAAGTTACAAAAACCATTATGGAAAAGAAGGGGTGAATTTGGCATAAGAGTGAGATTTATTTGTGGTGGCCCTCATAAAACATAATATATTAGTTGTCATTTAATGCTTTACATATATCCATGAAGATTGTGCAGCCTTACCTGAACCTGAACTTCTTTCCAATCCTACTTCTGCTTGATTTGCTAAGCAAGGAGAGAGACTGGAAGATGAATTCTCTGATGTTCTTGATAATGTATCATATTTATAACTAAAAAGAAAAAAAGTTAAATCTAGTAATTGTAGATGAATGGACATGAATCTATGTTTTCTGCTGGGGAAAAAGAACAGTAAGGCTGGATCTACACTGCCAAAATAATGCACTTTTAACTGCATTATATGATCACTGTAAACCCATAAAATGCAGTTCAATGCAGTTTAAACTGCATTCTATGCTGACCATTTAATAAAGTTCAAACTGTATTATTTGACAGTGTAGACTCAGCCTAATACACACAAACAGGTATGCTATTTAAATAAGAAATGGTAAGGCAATGAAACTGGAAACAATTTGATCAATTATGTTTTAAGGTAAGTACAAATGTTTAAACTAGAGCTTTCCAAGCCTTTAATAACAAGAACACATTAGTTTAAGATATAATTTGGGGTTCACATATGTAAAGGTTCATTTTAGACAGAGTTTAGAAGGTTAGTGGAAAAAATTAACAAGTTGATGTTACACTTTCAGTAGTTACAGAATATAGAAAACTCTTTGCTTTCTGGGTTGCTGTGAGTTTTCCGGGCTGTATGACCATGTTCCAGAAGTATTCTCTCTAGATGTTTCACCCACATCTATGGCCGGCATCCTCAGAGGTTGTGAGTTTGGTTGGAAACTAGGCAAATGAGGTTTATATAACCGTGGAATGTCCAGGGTGGGAGAAAGAATTCTTGTCTGCTTGAGGCAAGTGTGAATGTCGCAATTGGCCACCTTAATTAGCATTTAATGGCCTTATAGCTTCAAAGCCCGGCTGATTGCTGCCTGGGGATCCTTTGTTGGGAGGTATTAGCTGGTCCTGATTGATTCCTGTCTGGAATTCTCATGCTTTCTGAGTGTTGCTCTTTATTTATTGTTATGATATTAGAGTTTTTGTCATACTGATAGCCAGATTTTGTTCATTTTCATGGCTTCCTCTTTTCTGTTGAAATTGTCCACATGCTCATGAGTTTTAATGGCTTCTCTGTGTACTTACTTACTTACTTACTTAGGCAATCCCTCGTTGGCCAAGTAGGATAGTTTTCCAGGATCAGTATTCTTGTGGGTCCGTAGGTGTCTGTGGAGCCCTATTCTTGATCCGCATCTTCTCCCACAGTGAGGGCATTGGTTTCCAGGTGGAAGGTGGTCTCGGTCGGGGTTGGCTTGACGTGCCTTCCTCTTGGCACATTTCTATCTTTCACCCTCCATTCGTGCCTCTTCAAATTCAGCAGCACTGCTGGTCATAGCTGACCTCCAGCTGGCGCGCTCAAGGGCCAGGGCTTCCCAGTTCTCGTGTCTATGCCAGAGTTTTTAAGGTTGGCTTTGAGCCCATCTTTAAATCTCTTTTCCTGTCCACCAATATTCCGTTTTCCGTTCTTGAGTTCGGAGTAGCGCAACTGCTTTGGAAGATGGTGGTTGGGCATCCGGACAACGTGGCCGGGCCAGCAGAATTGATGGCGGAGGACCATCGCTTCAATGCTGGTGGTCTTTGCTTCTTCCAGCATGCTGATGTTTGTCTGCCTGTCTTCCCAAGAGAAGTGGCACTGATGGAATTGTTCCAGGAGTTGCATGTGATGTCTGTAGACAGTCCACGTTTCTCAGGCATATAGCAGGGTTGGGAGGACAACAGCTTTATAAACAAGCACCTTGGTACCCCTACGGATGTCCAGGTCCTCAAACACTCTGTGCTTCATTCAGAAAAAGCTGCACTCGCAGAGCTCAGGCGGTGTTGTATTTCTGTGTCGATGTTGACTTTGGTGGAGAGGTGGCTGCCAAGGTAGCAGAAATGGTCAACATTTTCTAATGTTACAACATTAAGCTGTATCTCTGGCATTGGAGAGGGATTGCCTGGTGACTGCTGGAATAGCACTTTGGTTTTCTCGATGTTCAGTGACAGACCGAGCTCCTCGTATGCTTCTGCAAAGGTGTTTAGAGTGGCTTGTAGATCTTCTCTGTGTAGTCTGACATGGTAGTTGTTAGAGTGGTCCAACATTTCTGTGTTATCAAATAACACGCTGTGTTCAGGTTGGTTCATCTGGTGCTCTGCTAGGGCTGACTTCTCAGGTTGAATTAGTCTGAGTGCCTTTCCTATTCTTTGATTCGTGTTTGGGTGCTGTGTTTGGTAGTCTACTTATTGAAAAAAAAATAACATTTGAAATACAAACAATAGTTTAAAAGAGCAGAATATTAAGTGCTGATTTGTAGTTATGGACCAAGCCAGATGTAAGGTAGCACTTCTGGAACAGAATAGAGTTCACCATGCTTATATCAGTTATGGGAAACATCATCCCTCCAGATACTGCTGATCTGAAATTTTGGCAACTCTAATTGAGTATAGACATTGTTTCCAAATGCTGACAGTTGCAATCCAACACCTTGCAGAGCATGATTCACATTCTCGCCTTGTCCTTTCACACACATACACAGGACTAAACCTAATTTTTAGTCCCAACTAAGGCAGACCTCCTAAGTAAAATGCTGCATAGTAAAAGCAAGCTCTATATCTGCTGGAGAGATGTATTGTAGATATCTGAAACTACAGTCTAAGACGTATTGTAGATATCTGAAACTTATATTTTAACTATTCTTGGGATGGGGCATACCACAAAATAGCACTGCTGACAATGACAGTGACTATGATGACAATCGCTGTGGAAATGGACTATGGACATGCTTGATGGAGTCTCTAACTACAGAATTCAGCTCAGATAAGGGCACCAAGCTGTTATTGAAACAGAAACAGATTTTAATTAATCAATGTGATCTCATATTTTAAATGCAATTATTGGATTTTATTATGTATTTTATAATGTATACATTGGAGACATCAAATTGTTGCCGGATGGAAGCCACCCTGAGCCCTGAAATTGAGAATGGCAGGGTACAAATATCTGAAATAAATAAATAAATAAATAGTGCAGTTACATCTCTATTACTGTGGGTTGGAGGAAAACTGAGATCGTTGGAAAATAATGAAAACCTGGATTGCACAATGGAAAGATAACAAATCTCTCTAAACAACGATAAATGTAAATGCATACTTACTATCCCATGACGAAGTGAGGCATTGCTGTTACAAGGCTTCCAAGTGACATGATAAAACAGCCAATAGCGATTGCCCTTGGTCGGTGAAATTTTGCCCCAAAGTAACTCACAAATGCAATTACCAGTAAATTCCCTGGAAAATAAAACAAACCTTTGTTAATGGGGAGTATTTCACAGAACCATGGAGTCATAGAATAGTACAGTTGGAAGATACATCTAAGGACTGCTTGTGAAACTTCTGCTTAGTTTCCAAAAGTCTTGATTTGGCCAAGACAGTCCTAATTAATCCTCTGCTGTTTCAGTTTGCCAGCTGCTTTTAAAATGTCCCAGATTCTCTCTCTTCCCCCTTTGTCCTCAGCATGATTCCATTGCTTCAAAAGGAATTCAAAGCACAAATGTAGTCGACACTCTGTGACTCAGGAGTGGGAGAAAGAGAGGAAGGGTAGAATTTTTATCTTCCCAATAGGATTAATAATAATATAATAATAAAAATTTATTTATAAATTAGCCAACTGCAGCAACCTCTCCTTTATGGTCTTTCTCATAAATTTTTGCCATCTTGCAAGTGCAATTGGCGAGGATAAGAGACATGGCCTTCTCGGTGGTACCCCCCCCCCCCCCCCCCCCCCCCCCCGGGTCTGTGGAATGCACTCCCCAGTGAAATCAGGGTGACTCCTTCTCTCCTCTCCTTCAGGAAGAAACTCAAGTCTTGGCTTTGGGACCAAGCATTTGGGCAGCTGTCTGAGCAACAACTATAATGACTTGTGAGAATTGTCAATTAAGAGACCTTGGGCTGGAACTCTGAACTATATTTGAATTTGCAGACTCAGACTTGGTTGTGTTAACATTTTAAGGGCCAATATTTTTAATGTATTTTTTTTTGCATTTTTAATGTATTTTTACTGCTGTTGACCTGTTTATGTTGATTGTTGTGCTTTAACTCTTTCTTTGTTGGCATCTAATGACTGCCAATTATAAGCCGCCCTGAGTCCCCTTTTGGGGGTTGAGAAGGACGGGATACAAATGTTCTAAATACATACATACATACATACATACATTTGATGTTGCTTAGCTGCATATGCTCTGGTTTCCATCTGAAGGATATACCCTTGCCAATCCATAAAATCTATAGCTGAAGCATCCCTTACATATGGCATTCTAGTCATAGAATCATAAAATCAAAGAATCAAAGAGTTGGAAGAGACCTCATGGGCCATCCAGTCCAACCCCCTGCCAAGAAGCAGGAATATTGCATTCAAATCACCCCTGACAGATGGCCATCCAGCCTCTGTTTAAAAGCTTCCAAAGAAGGAGCCTCCACCACACTCCGGGGCAGAGAGTTCCACTGCTGAATGGCTCTCACAGTCAGGAAGTTCTTCCTCATGCTCAGATGGAATCTCCTCTCTTGTAGTTTGAAGCCATTGTTCCGCGTCCTAGTCTCCAGGGCAGCAGAAAACAAGCTTGCTCCCTCCTCCCTATGGCTTCTTCTCACATATTTATACACGGCTATCATATCCTCTCTCAGCCTTCTCTTCTTCAGGCTAAACATGCCCAACTCCTTAAGCTGCTCCTCATAGGGCTTGTTCTCCAGACCCTTTATCATTTTAGTCGCCCTCCTCTGGACACATTCCAGCTTGTCAATATCTCTCTTGAATTGTGGTGCCCAGAATTGGACACAATATTCCAGATGTGGTCTAACCAAAGCAGAATAGAGGGGTAGCATTACTTCCTTAGATCTAGACACTATGCTCCTATTGATGCAGGCCAAAATCCCATTGGCTTTTTTTGCCGCCACATCACATTGTTGGCTCATGTTTAACTTGTTGTCCACGAGGACTCCAAGATCTTTTTCACACGTACTGCTCTAGTCTATGTTTAAAATGTTTCCAATGAAGGTAAGCCCATCACTCTAGAGAGCCCATTTCATTATCAAACAACTCTAGAAGCTCCATGGGCCATGGAGGGTCCAAAATAGGGTGTGTATTGCTCTCTGGAATCACCAAACAAGCTAAATGTTTGAGTAAAATCATTCTTATCTATGAAATATTCCAGGGAGTATTTGCTTTCAGGGAAAATGCCTTAGCTATATTCTTAAAGGATCAAAAATTGCAATGTCATCTTTGTAGGCTGCAAGTAGTATTTCAGGAGTTAGGCAACTTTCAGAGAAGAGAGGGACACACAAGCTTTTCCCCATATGCTGATGGGCTGAACTCATTGTCATAATTGCCCTAAACATGGGATGGCCTAGAAGTAATTTCCTGTTTGTGTTGATTTTAAAGCCCCCTTCTTTAAATGCCCCCATGGGTTCTCCAGAGAATAAAAAATTGCACACACACCCCCTAACCAAAGAAATTATCCTGGCCATAAGTGGACAGCTTGCTGCATTTTGTCCACGCTCTGGTCCCACTTACCCATTTCAAAGCCCCCATCCATGAAGCCAGCTGTAGAAGAGGAAATGCCAAATCTTCTTTCTAACTGTGTGAAGGAGCTTTTCATCATGGCTCCTGAAAAGACTTTGCTGAAGTAGGTAAATGCCAAAGCAGCAAGGAAGGCCTACCAAAGATGGAAAGGAAAAGAGAAATGATGCTTGAACAAAGACCAGTTTTCCACCAGTTGACAGGACCAATTCAATCCAACACATTTCAGAGCTCTCTGATTTAGGGCCCTTCCACACAACCCTTTATCTCAGGAGCTGATCCCATGTTATCTGCTTTTAATTGGAATATATGAGTCCCCACTGCCAGATAACATGAGATAAACAGATATTCTGGGATCAGATCCTGGGATAAAGGGGCAGAGCGGAAGACCCCATAGAAGGATAAATATTGCACAAAACTATACATTCTAGAATTTCATAGGATTAGGCCATGCCAGTTCATGTTGTATCAAACTGCCTCAATTCTGCAGTGCAGACATAGCTAATCATAGATTACAACAGGCTAGTTTAATGTTGCATATCATCCCTGTATCTATCTATCTAGTCCAAAATGCAAACCTTGATTTTGCTATGTGCCTAGCATTACACTGATGTGTAGGCATACTCTGCTATATCCCCTCATCATTTTAGAGATCCTCAGGAGCTGGATGTATGCTGCCATAGAATGGAGTTTCAGAATGCAGATTGACTGCATTTAACTATATTCTATGTCAGTGTAGTAGTAGACGAAATTCAATGAAGTTGATTTGCATTCTGAAATTGCATTATATGGCTGTGTATATCCAGCCATGGTTCTCCAACACTCATTGGAGTTGTCCAACATTTTATATAAGGGACAAAATTGTACTACACCGCTTTAAATAATGGAATTAGAGCATCCATGGATTTTTGGTATCCATAGGTCTCCACTGAGGAACCCCCAATGGTGCAGTGGGTTAAAGTGCTGAGCTGCTGAACTTGCTGACCAAAAGGTTGCAGATTTGAGTCTGGGGAGCGGCATGAGCTCCCACTGTTAGCCCCAGCTTCTGCCAACCTAGCAGTTCAAAAACATGCAAATGTGAGTAGATCAATAGGCACTGCTTTGGCAGGAAAGTAATGGTGCTCCATGCATTCATGCCAGCCACATGACATTGGAGGTGTCTACAGATAACACCGGCTCTTTGGCTTAGAAATTTAAATGAGCACCAACCTCCAGAGTCAGATATGACTGGACTTAATGTTAGGGGAAAACCTTTATCTTTACTTAGGTTTTATAATCAACCCCCAGTGGATATTGAGGCCCATTATATATTTATGTGTATTTTAGCAAATATTATGTGAATTTCCTAAATATTTTAAACTCATGAAACATTCATCTTCTTGTATTTAAATATACAAATGATTATTGGACATAGTATGGATAATACTATGGTACGGTTTCAGATTTAACTGCATGAACAAAGTTGAGTTCTACATTTGTAATTATTTTTAAAGCAGCACTAGCTGAGGATTGCTTAAATATTATCCAGTTGAGTCAACACAGACTTTCAGTTATTTCTTTTGCCCCCAAACTAAACAGACTTGTGACATACTGGGTAAAAGTTACAATTACTTGTATAACAGCTACAGATGAGTAAACAAACTATATTGGGATGTGTACTTTGGGATGCTACTAAAAGGTCTGTGTTTTTCAAAAAGGAAACTCCACAGGTGGGCAAAAGATCAGACACTTTTGAGCTGAGGCAAAACAACTGATGTACATATTGTCACCCTGTACATCACAAGAAAAGTCTTCATGCAGAGATTTCATGTGGCGAGAAATATAAAGAGCATGAGGCTGAATTTCTGCAGTCATATCCATGCTGCTATGTATTTTAATTGGGTTATGTGTTTTTAACTGATGGTATGCCATTTTCCATAGATGTTATATGTTGCAACCCCTATATTTGGCCTTGGTCAACCACACCTGGAATCACACTGTGTCAAATTCTGGGCACCGCAATTGAAGCTGGAATGTTTTCAAAGGAGGGTGACTCAAATGATCAAGGGTCTGGAGAACAGGCCATATGAGGAGCAGCTTAAAGAGCTGGGCATGTTTAGCCTGAAGAAGAGAAGGCTGAGAGGAGTCATGTTGAGGGCCATGCATAAATATGTGAGGGGAAGTCATAGGGAGGAGAGAGCAAGTTTGTTTTCTGCTGCCCTGGAGACTAGGATGTAAAACAGTGTCTTCAAACTACAGGAAAGGAGATTTCACCTGAAAATTAAAAAGAATTTCCTAACTGTGAGAGCTGTTCAGCAGTGGAACTCTCTGCCCTGGTATGTGGTGGAGGCTCCTTGTTTGGATGCTTTTAAGCAGAGGCTGGTTGGCCATCTGTTGGGGGCGCTTTGAATGTATTTTTCCTGCTTCTTGGCAGGAGGTTGAGCTGGATGGCCCACGAGGTCTCTTCCAACTCTGATTCTATGCATTTTTATCTGTTGTTGCAGTTTTGATTTGTACTTAGAGGCAAGTAAGCATTATTATTATTATTATTATTATTATTATTATTATTATTTTACTGACAAAAAAACAGTATGTCATAGCAAACAAGATATATATCACAAAATCACAAGTTTAACACTTCCCAAGTGTTTAGGACTGTGTGTTGTATTTTTAAATGATGCGTGCAGATACAAGCAAGGTGGCCTTTTGCAGTTGACAGATCATGATTTTGTCAATGTTTGTTGTTGTTGTTGTTGTTGTTGTTGTTATGCTCTTATGTCTTCCAATCAGTTTCCCAATATAGAGGCGGACAGGTGTTCCCAGATATTTTCAACCCCTAGAAATGTTTTCTCTTCTCTAGAATCAATTAAGAAAACATAATGCCAGTATTTCTGTCTTAGGAATTATTAAGAATTCTTAATATTAAGAATGATTAATAAATAAAATATCCACAAACCTTGAGTCCATTGCAACAAGAAGTCTTTGTCTTGGCAGGTGGTTTCTGGACAGCTTTCTCCTCCACAGACTGTGTTTCAGCTTTTGCTTCCATGGTAGATTTGGACATGTTCTCCAATTCTACAACCTTCATGATTTCTTATCTTGAGTGATTTCCCTACAAAGAAAATTCTCAAATTATCAACATGTAATGCAGCCTTCTTTTCTTTGCCTTGCTTTTTATTCCACTTTTTAATGGGATGTGTGTGTTAGAAATTACTCTCAAAAATATTTCACTAGGAATGAGCCCAGACCCAAGATTATTCATTGTGTTGTTGGGAGAACTGGCAACTTTCAATCAGCCACTCACAAAGAAACTGGGAGATCACCCTAACCTTTTATATTCTGTTTTCTGGATTGTTTGGCTTTTGACAGATATTTCAACTCGGACATCCCATACTAGAAAGAGAAGTCAAGGAAAAATAAAAGAACGTAGTGCTTTTGTCATATATACTCAGGCATATGTCAGAGAAAGAAGCAGGCACATTTTAAAAGCAACTAAAAAAAGGTATGAAAAAGGATGAATCTAGATCAGGAGTCCTCAAACTTTTTAAACAGAAGGCCAGGTCACAGTCCCTCAAACTATTAGAGGGCCGGATTATAATTTGAAAAAAAAACATGAATGAATTCCTATGCACACTGCACATATCTTATATTGTAGTGCAAAAAATATTTTAAAACAATACAATAATTAAAATGAAGAACAATTTTAACAAATATAAACTTATAAGTATTTCAATGGGAAGTGTGAACCTGCTTGTGGCTGATGAGATAGGATTGTGTTGTCATTGTGTGCTTTCAAGTCATTTCAGACTTAGGTTGATCCTGAGCAAGGGCCTGGTAAATGACCTTGGAGGGCCTTATCCACCCCCCGGGCCTTAGTTTGAGGACCCCTGATCTAGATTCTTGGAGGGTTGTGCCTCTCCTTGAGATTTTTGATTCTGATATAAGAACATGGCATCAGGACGTTAATTTTCTTCTTGATCTTTGCCCCTTCAAATGATTTTTATCTCACATCCATTCCCTATTGTTTGCCTCCAACTTCTCTCCCTGGCTGCCTTTTAACCTCAATCCTCCTTCTAACATTAACTGATATCAGTCTGAGAATCTGTTGACCCTTCATGAGATGCTACATGGTAGCTGTGTACGTCGGAATATTATTTAATTGCCCAATATGATCATTCCATATTTGTGACACCAGTAAACCAATACTGGTTTTGGGTGGTTCTGGCTGCAGATAATAGGTCAACGTGGCTGACCCAATCCAAACATTTAAAAAATGGAACAGAGCACTAAAGCACTTCTAATTTCCACATTTAAAATTTCCCAAGGTCTGTTAGTAATACTGTATGATCTAATAGCACAACTGTACATATATAGAATGATCCCTGCACTTCTTGCAGGACTAGTGTCCATGATTTCACCTAACTGCACCCCACAATATATGTCCTCTCTAGGGATTTTCAGGATTCTTTGGGTGATTCCATGTCATGCTTCCACCAAAAGTTACCATGAAATAATTGTGGTTGATGCAGTGACACCTCTCTAAGAATTTTCTAGGTTTCCCAGGGCAATTGTAAGGTAACTTCCAGCAGAAGTCATTCCTTTCAGTAAGATTCACTACTACTCAGTTTCTTGCTTGCACAGTAAATTTAGGAGTGTATCTCGCCATCCTCCAGGAAATAAAGTCCGGCTGCTCACTGGAGGGAAGGATACTAGAGACAAAGTTGAAGTACTTTGGCCACATCATGAGGAGACAGTAAAGCCTAGAGAAGACAATTATGCTGGGGAAAGTGGAAGGAAAAAAGAAGAGGGGCCGACCAAGGGCAAGATGGATGGATGGCATCCTTGAAGTGACTGGACTGACCTTGAAGGAGCTGGGGGTGGTGACGGCCGACAGGGAGCTCTGGCGTGGGCTGGTCCATGAGGTCATGAAGAGTCGGAGACGACTGAACGAATGAACAACATCTCGCTATAGATATGAGGGTCATACTGCATCTAGTTATGATGTAGAGGCAAGAAATCTGATTACCGAATTGCAAAGATGTCTAGGACACCAGAAAAATGCCTGATATCTCTTGGTGTTCATCAGGACCAATATGCACATTGGACCTCAGGCCCTTTGAGCACCAAGGCATGTCAGGCACTTTACCAGCTCTGCTATATTAAGCAACTGCTTCATTCGAATCCCTGCAGATCTAATTCCAATTATAAAGAATTCCCAACAGGAGTCCCACTTTTGTCCCAGGTCAGAACCCAAGCTGTACAAATAAACATTGTTGAAAAGGTACATCAAACAAATGTTAATTATGTAATAACAGTCAGACCTCTATAGGCACAGATTCTGCATCCACCGATTCAATCATCCATAGCCTGAAAATATTCAAAACGTCCTCCCCTCCAACATTGTGAAACTTGATTTTGCCATTCTATATAAAATACACTCATTCACTATGTCACAGTATAAAATGGGGCTTGAGGATCCACAGATTTTGGAATCCATGAGGGGTCCTAGAACCAAACCTAGCAGATACCAAGAGCCCACTGTAAATTAACAACAAAATTAAGACAAATTAAAAATATAGCCACGAAAAAGAAAACAAATAAACAATATAGCACATTATGCAAGCTCCAATTCTCCTTCAGAAGGCAATATTCAAAGGCCTACTGAAACAACAACAATATTAATCTACCAGCAGGATGTTGGTCCCAGGTCACTAAAAAGAATAGAACAGAGCAACTAACTGAGAAGGTCCAGTCTTATTCCGAAATGAAATACCTCTGATGATGATGGCGTATAAAAAAGAGATTTCAAAAAAAGATCTCCTATAATATAGGAGAATAAAGCCATTCAGATAACTTAGATTTAACTGTACTGGGCTTTATGGGTTGTCACTGCCTACCCTTCAACATGTCAGAGATGAAATCCAAGGCACATTAGTGCCATCTGGTTAAGCAAAATCAGAATGTAATTTAGGCCCCTTCCACACAGCTGAATAAAATCCCTCATTTTCTGCTTTGAACTGGAATATATGGCAGTGTGGACTCAGATAACCCAGTTCAAAGCAGATATTGTGAAATTTTCTGCCTTGATATTCTGGGTGATATGTGTTGAATAGAGAAGCTAGAATGGGCAAGACTCACTTGTCTCCTCTCTTCTCTCTCCTGCCAAGTCAGGCATATAGCTGGGGGGGGGGGGCGCTGAGGGGCTTTAGCCCCCCCCCCCAATTCTAGGGATGGTCCACGAGAAGACTTTACTGATACATTATTTAAACTGCTATGTTTATCCATATCATGATCTGATCACCATGCTCAATATATCTCATATGCATAGGGGTATTGGGATAATGATATAAAAAGTATGCTAGGGTAGATCCTCAGCCCCCCCCCCCCCAAAAAAAAAAATCAAAATCCTGGCTATGGGCCTGTGCCAAGTTAATTCAGTGTAAAATACTTTTGCATTTTGGACTTAGTTTGCAGAAATTGAATAAACCTGAGGACAAATGACTTAAGAGAGAAGAGAGAGAAACTAGGATTCATTTGAAAATGTGGGATGGCTGAATGAAAATGTATTGGGAATGCTCCCAGCTGTGGGATACGTCACCACACAGCTGCCTGTTAAATTCTGGGTTTGTAGTTTAAGGTGAGGTCTTCAGAATTTTTAGTTAGAGAGCACTAGTGTCTCATAAAATACACACCTCATCGTTTTCTTAGTGTTTTGCAGATGAACTGAAATCTATATAAATAAAAATGTAATGTTTGTTTGTGGTATTCACAGAACTAAAAAACCACTGAACGAATTGACACCAAAATTGGAGACAAGACACCTAATAACCCAATGTATGTCCTTCACTCAAAAAAAATCCTTTTTTTTGTCATTTGGGAGTTGTAGTTGCTGGGATTTATAGTTCACCTATAATCAAAGAACATTCTGAACCCCACCTACAATGGAATTGAACCAAACTTGGCACACAGTTCTCCCATGACCAACAAAAAATACTGGAAGGGTTTGGTGGGCAGTGTCCTTTGGTTTTGGAGTTGTAGTTCACCTACATCCAGAGATCACTGTGGACTCAAACAATGATGGGTCTGGACCAAACTCTACACGAAGACTCAATATGCCCAAATGTGAACACTTGTTGGAGTTTGGGGAAAATGGAATCTTGATATTTGGGAGTTGTAGTTGCTGGGATTTGTAGTTCACCTACAATCATAGAGCATTTTGAACCCCACCAATGATAGAATTGGGCCACACCTCCCACACAGAACCCCCATGTGGGCCACAGCAACGCGTGGCAGGGGACGGCTAGTAATACAAATAATTTGTAGTGTGAAAGGCTCCTTGCAACCTCATAAGATGGGCAGTTCACATTTTTTGACCCCAGAAGAGTCCGTTTTGGCATTCGGAAAAGATTGGGAAGAGCAGAACACATGCCCTCAGGATCACATACTATTAAACCCTGTATTTTATAGGCCTGGGTAACAACGGAAAAATTTGTTTCTAAAATCGATTCGTTTTTTGGGTTTTTTTGCGTTTCGATATTTAAAAGAATTCCGAATTTTTTTAAAAAAAAGTTCTATATTTACGAAATTTCGTAAATGGTAAAAAAATTACAAAACAATAACGAAACAATAACGAATCTATTCGTTAATGGCGGACGCGACCGTGCAATACGCTAAAAAACCTCCAAATGGGACAGGGGGAACTTCTGAAGCTTCCCTCTCCCTCTGTTGTTGACTGTTGGTGTGATATTATAATTTTTTTCACTAATTAAACAAAAAACAACTATAAAACTTGCCCCAGACATGCGGAAATAATAACGAAATGACCTCAAACCAATAACGAAAAGAATACATAACGAAATATGAAGCATTTACGAAACGAATTGAAAAATTCGTTTCGTTTTTAAGTTGCCCCAGAATGGTTCGTTATCGCTTCGTTAACAAAAAAAATAACGAATTTTTAACTAATTATGAATTAACGAAACGAAACCGCCCAGCCCTAGTATTTTATGTACAAGAGGCACACACTTTCTCAGGAATTAGGGGTCCATGACTCTTGCAATGGTGGAAAAATTATTTAAAAACCTTTGAGTCTACATTTCCAGATTCATAGTGATAACATATTAATGAGATATGTGAAAAATCAAATTTGCAAAGTTAAACACACAAACATGGGGACCTACTCTATAGGCACCATTGCTTAGCTGATGCCTATGAATCAGCCTTGGTTTCTCAGGTAGAACTTGTTTTTCATCTGATGTTGGACTGCCAGCTGGACATTTTCAGCCATATGTTGCCACAGTTCTGCCTTTAGAGCAGTCTAACACAGTGGTCTTTTTCACAGCCCTTGATGGGGGCGGACAGATTTTAAACTGCTACTTTATGTTGGAAAATGTCCGGTGAAAGCTAGGTGATAAGGTTCAGCTATACAGAGATCCTGAATCATAAACAGTTGTGCAGAAGAGGGAATGCCGGCAGTTCCTCATGGTGAAATTCCATTTTCTACATAACCATGAAATGTCCAGAAGATCTGATCTACAGTAGAATCTCGCTTATCTAACATAAATGGCGTGGCAGAATGTTGGATAAGCAAAAATGTTGAGTTATAAGGAGGGATTAAAGAAAAAACCTATTAAATGTCAAATTACATTATGATTTTACACATTAAGCACCAAAACATCATGTTTTACAATAATTCAACAGAAAATGCAGCTCAGTACATAGTAATGTTATGAAGTAGTTACTGCATTTACAAATTTAGCTCCAAAACATCACAATGTATTGAAACAGCTGTGGATCCAGGTGGGAGGCAGGCTGTGTTGGATAATACAGAACATCGGATGAGTGAAGTTTGGATAAATGAGACTCTACTGTATTTTGCATGCAGACACTCTTGAGGAGAGGTTCCAAGATTTAATACATGCTCGAGCAAATTTGGCTATCATTTCGTGTTGTTCCCTTAAACTGATATAGCAGATATACTAAAGAAAAAAAACATTAATTATTGTATCAGCACTTGGAATGCCATTAAGAATTCCCCATTTTTCCCTGTTGGAAACAAAACTTCACCTACCTGCCTTGCCGATCTGGTGGCTATGGCATCATTTAATGTGCTGTTTTGTGCAACATTTCCCCTTAAAGGCAAGCCAAGCAGTCCTGAGGTTCATATGGGAAATCATTAACTTTCCCAACTTTCTAAGTAAACAAAAACAATCCTGTTTAACTCTTCTTTTGTAATATCATCCTTGTCCCCTCTCCACCCATGGTTGGAAAGAAAATCCACACGTTTCTTTAGAGTGAGCCTTTAAAACAATGGTCTAGATATAAAATATTCTGATGCTGGCATATTTGTGACCTTGCTTTGAAAACATCCTGTGGTTTGTTTGGAAGCAGAAACAGCTATTGTTTCCTATGGTGTGTTCTTCGTTTCACCCAAGACTATGAAAAGATGTATCCATCTAATCGCTGAAAAAATAAACAGGGAGGGAGCAGAATGTCCCTATTCCATCTACTGAATTTGAAGCTCTTGTTTCTGAATAGCACCCCATTAACTTCAAAAAGAGACAGTCAACATGCAAGAATATGCAAGAACTGTGTTTTGTAATGGTGTGTGTACAGAGTAACAATTTTTGTGCTTTATCTTCTGCAATTATAATAATTTGCTTGTATTAATGTATTGTCAAAGGCTTTCATGGCTGGAATCACTGGGTTGTTGTGGGTATTTCAGGCTATATGACCATGTTCTAGAAGCATTCTCTCCTGGCATTTTGCCTGCATCTATGACAAGCATCCTCAGAGATTGTGAGGTCCTGTTTGGATTATTTCACTCATTTATCTGCTTGGATTTCCTTAGCTTTCTCTGGAAATGTGAGTAGAGGGAGATGATATTTCTAGACAAAGAAAACAGAATGTAACAATCATCCTTCAGCACTAAATTATTTCCAGCACATCAGTTTCACATTATTAACTCATACAATTTACTTTACTTCATTCATTACATTTATATTCTGCCTTTCCTACCATAGCTTCAAGGCAGCAAATGTGGCTCTCCTTCCCCCTTCTCCTTCACAAAACCCCCAAGAAGAAAGTCAAGCTGAGAAAGAGACAGCATTTTGCTAGTTTTGGCCCAGCTCTTGGTTTGTAAATGTCATTTCCCTTTTTGATTCTGTTCTCTGTGGTATTAGTTACCCCTCCTAATTGGATGTTATCTACCAATTTGATACACCTGCCTTCTATTCCATCATCCAAGTCATTGATAAAGATGTTGAATAGCCCTGACCCCAGGACAGAACACTGTGGCATCCCACTAGTCACTTCTCTCTAGGATCAAGAAGAGCCATTGGTAAGTACCCCTTGGGTTCAGTCAATCAATTATCAATTCACTTAACAAGTAGCATTGCCTACACACACACACCAATTAGCAAAACCCAGCACTTTTTAAACTTATACACTCAATTATAAAGACTGATAATGCTATCTTCGGTGTTCTCACCAGATGTACATGAGAGAATGGTGGGACAGAGAAGGATGACTAATGAACCAGTTTTATTCATGGCTCCAGGACCATTAGGGTACCAAAAATACCATCTTATTTTTCCAAAGATTCAATTCAGATTAAGCATCCCTTATTTCAAATTCCAAAACACTCCAAAATCATACATTGTCCACATGGGTAGCTGAGATATCGATGCCTTTGCTTTCTTATGATTCAGTGTACACAAACTTGCTTCCATGAAGCAAGTGCATAAAATTACCACTAAGGCTATGTATGTAAGGTGCATATGAAACATAAACAAATGCCGTATTTACACTTGGGGCCCATCTCCAAGATATCTCATGTATATGCAAATACACAATCTGGAGAGAAAAAAAAAACATAAATCCAAAAAACTACTTCTCTCAAGCATTTTGGATAAGAGCTACTCAGCCTGTATACGTTCAAAAATCACTTGGATTTTACTGCAATAGAGAAGCAGAGATATACATTGCCCAAATCTTAATGTGCTGGTACGGCTGTACCAAGAGCTCCAACTTCCTTTTCTTTCTTTGAGTGTTTGCATGTATTCCAAAGTTCCATGCATTTTGCAATAAGGTGGCTTCCTTTGGTTTGCAGCCACCTGCCTATCATCGTTGGGTTTTTTTATTTCCGCCCCTTTCCTCAGGGTTCAAGAAGGAAAGGGAGACATTTTAGCTCAGTCTTACAGTTGAAATCTTAGCTACAGGATGTGAATCAGCTTCACCTGCAGAAAAGCTCCATTTCTTATGAAATTCTGGAAGAAAACAGTTCCAAAGGACTCCAGCTGGAGAATCTACAAAGCCTTGACTGGTAGGTCTACTCGGGACCCAAGAAGCAGTTTGGAGCTGGGAGTAGAGCCCACACCAGCAAAGTTTAGAAAGTAGATTGCCCAAGGAGGGGTTAAAAAGGGTTTTCCTTGTTAAAGAAAGAAATAGTTCTCCAAGCAAGGTGCCTGTCCTTTGTAGACAAGTTAAGAAGCATTGGTTTGACCTGTTGAAGATCTGAGAAGTATTTGTTTGTTTTGTTGAAGACCTAAGCAATAATAAAGGACCTTGTTAAACTTTTCAAGTTTCTAAAGACTTTTGTATAGGAAAATCCTTACAACCTCTCAGCTGAGGCACCCCGGCTTCCTGCTGGGCACAAAGAGTACGTCCTGTTCAAAAGCGAATTGCTATAGGCCCAGCACGTTACAGCACACTTAACTCTCTTATTCTGGGAAATTCTTCTCTCCCCCCACAGACCTTCTAAAAACAAAAAGCTAATTGCTCCCAGATGTTGCTCTCTTAAGATATGAAATGCCACTGATAAAGAAAACAATTGCGAAGGCCAATAGTGAAGCATGTTAAGGACAGAGCAAACCTTTTCCCTCCCTTTACCATTGTTCTGCTGTTTCCCTCCCTTTACCATTGTTGCCCTAATTTTTACACCAGCAATTCATTGCCTATCTCTTTCTATATCTGTTTTGTATGGGGTTTTTCTTTTTGCTGAGTTCATTTTTCTGGCAGTGATTTACCCAGCAAAGAGATCAAAAAGCAAATAGCATGTTTGCTCTCTTGAGTTAGACATATCTTGGAAATCTGAACAGTTCATGTAACATGCAATCCAAAGTTCATAATGGGTTCCCTTTGCTTTGGAATTCATGAGTGGTGAGATGGGCAAAATCCACGTGCCTGTTTGCCTTTCCATGTGGACTGTAGACAAGATGCAGAATTACAAAATGTTACCTTTCCATCCTACAGCTACGAGGTCAGTGTAAAGGAGCTACTGAGATACCAAATTTCATTTTGTAATACTACGGACACTTGATATCTACTGGGTTTTTTTCCAGGTCTTTCCATGGGTGCCAAACGCATGGATGCTCAAATTCTATTACATACAATGGCATAGTAAAACAGTACACCTTATATAAAATGGCAAAGATCAAGGTTTGCTTTGGGGCATTTACAAAAAATTATTTCCAAGCCATGAATGGTTGAATCCATGGATACAAAATCAAGTAGATCTGGAAGGCCGGCTGTATTATCTGTTTTTCACTCTCTATACTTCTCTTGAAGTACTTTGGCCACATCATGAGGAGACAGGAAAGCCTAGAGAAGACAATTATGCTGGGGAAAGTGGAAGGCAAAAGGAAGAGGGGCCGACCAAGGGCAAGATGGATGGATGGCATCCTTGAAGTGACTGGACTGACCTTGAGGGAGCTGGGGGTGGTAACGGCCGACAGGGAGCTCTGGCGTGGGCTGGTCCATGAGGTCACGAAGAGTCGGAGACGACTGAACGAATGAACAACAACAATACTTCTCTTCAACATTGGATGAACAGGAGCCTATGAAGATGCCATATTAAAACAATTTAATTGGATATTGAATGGCAAAATCATGGGAATTTTAGTTTGTTGATAAACCTGCACTATTTGGCAAAGAAGACTAAAGACCTTATAACACCACAGCTCACATGATTCCATAGCACTGAGCCATGGCATTTAAAGTGGTGACAAGTAGTTGCACCCTTGGAGTCCATGCTGGCTGCAGAATTCATGTTTAAAACAAGAAGCTTTCCCAAGTTCTTGATTATGATGCTACTGCTTTACTGCAGCAGGAATGGCTCTATAATATCTGCAGTGATTACAATCCTCCAGTCAGAAGGTGGCAGCACAACCCTGCAGATAATCTCCATAAATACTTCAGCATAGCTATTCCAGTTTCCAACAAGGTTGCAAGAAAGTATATAACTTGCCTGCTTATAAAGAGCACTAATTTCACCTTGAATACATGCAATCTCATCTTATTTTGGAAACTTAACAGAGTTGGGCCTGGCAAGTTCTTGGATGGAACCAGTCAGGAATATCAGTAATTCTAATATAATTGCTGAGAAAGAAACCTTGAGCTTTATTGTGACTCAATCAGTTCTGAGCTAGATAGATGTCTCAGTGGTCTATTTGTAAGGCAATTTAGTACAACTTGCCTGGGTCTACAGGAAAGGGCAAAATTTATCACTCTCCACTTCCGCACTTAACTGAGTGCAAACTACTGAATTCTGTTTGCAGAGATTGAAGTAATCTCCCAGACTGGACTGTTAGAGGGTGTAAAGAAATTTAATGATTCCCACTATCAGAAATTTCACAATTCCTTAACAGGTTTTTTTTTTTAAAGACAGAGAGATGAATGGAGGAAGAAAACTAAGTAAAGTTAGCACTTCACAAGGGAGCAACAGGAATAAGCAAATGAAAAGGGGCACTTGTAGTGTACAAATCATGTGTTATGCAACAAGAAGCAGAGTAATTATTTCAAACCAAGGCAACTCAAGCTTGCTACTAAATAAACCCATTACTTCTCCCTTCTGTTCAGTGGAGGAACAACACAATGTCAAAGGGAATGACAATATGAACAGAGACCTCAAATCTGACATTACCTTCTGCGGCTCTCTGTGGTGTTGGTGAATATATGGGGGTTCAAACCTCAGCCTTGTGTGAACATAAAGAAGGTCTCAAATAAGAACGCTGCACTTGTTTTTTCCAGCAGTCGACAAATCTGGAGCCGAGTCATTGCATTTTGGATTATCGGAGCATTTCTAAGCAAAAGCTGGGAAGGGAGCCAACCCCTTTCCCCCTGGAAACAGGCACAAGATGATGCCTGGCATTTCTGATACTGGGATGAGAGCCAAGGG